GCATACAAAAGATGTGTCATTTGAAATAAAAAATTAAAAAAAAAAAAAAGAAATCTTTGTAAAGATTTGGCTGTCAACAATTCTGACCATATTTAGCCTATTTTACCTCTGGTTTCTAGCAAGTGATAGACTGAGCTGTCCTGACACTGGCCAGGGAAAAGTTGTACAAAAGAATGGCCGTCTGTTTATCCATTGTAGTGACCAGCTAGCTCTCTTCTTCCTTTCCCACTGCCTTCATGTAATCACTGTAGTGCTTTAGTGCTCTTAATTAATTCAATTTTATTTATGGTTTGTTCTTTTTTCCATTTACAGCAACTTTTCTTTCCTTTTTTTTTTTTTTTTAATTTATTTTTTGAGGGAGTGTAAGCAGGGGAGGGGCAGAGGGACGGGGATATAGGATCTGAAGTGGGCTCTGCACTGATAGCAGCAAGCCCCATGTGGGGCTTGAACTCACGAACTGTGAAATCAGGACCCGAGCTGAAGCCCGACGCTCAACTAACTGAGCCACCCAGGTGCCCCTACAGCAACCTTTCTTGAACTGTGATTTGCACAGATTATCTGGAGCACTCTTTAAAAAACAGGGCTCCTCAGCTGGGTCACTGAATCCAAATTTCCTGGAATAAGGCCTGGGAATCTGTATTTTTTTAAAAAGCTTCCCAGGTGATTCTAATACCTAGGATTTAAGAGTCTAGTTCCTTCCTCCCTCCCTCCCTTCCTTCCTCCCTCCTTTCCTTCCTTCTTTCTTCCCACCGTTTCTTCCTTCCTTCCTTCATCTCTCCCTCCCTCCTTATCCTTATGGGCTGCCCTCAAAATCTAAGCACCACATATTACAGTCTTGGAAGACAGACAACATTCTTAGCTCCAAACAACCACCAATTTACAAATAACACTTTGGTGAAAAAACATGTCTGTAAACCTGGAGCTTGCTGTATGATTACTGGCACTATATTTATTTATTTTTTTTCAACGTTTATTTTATTTTTGGGACAGAGAGAGACAGAGCATGAACGGGGGAGGGGCAGAGAGAGAGGGAGACACAGAATCAGAAACAGGCTCCAGGCTCCGAGCCATCAGCCCAGAGCCTGACGCGGGGCTCGAACTCACGGACCGCGAGATCGTGACCTGGCTGAAGTCGGACGCTTAACTGACTGTGCCACCCAGGCGCCCCGATTACTGGCACTATAAAGAATTTTAGACTCAAATGGAAAGATGGTGATGTTCTTCTTGAAGATATCTAAGGAAAGAGACAGGTTTAAGTGCAAATTCTCATGCTTTATTTGAAGTCTTTATCAAATTCAGAATGGCCCATACATACAGAACTAAGACATGGCCTAAATCCTACACACATTGAAGTTCTGAATTAGGTTGCCATTACCTTTTCTTTTTCCAAACTAGATGACACAAATTTCCATTCATCTTTCCTTGTAGGCATTCTCCCTGCTCTTTGATTACTATTCTCTATTGTTCCTTCAGGTTCTTCAAACGACTCCTGGTTCACCAGCCGGGACTGAAATACCTTCAGGGCACAACTGTACTAATATACTTTGTCATTTGAAGACAGTTTGCATTATCTCTTTAGGAGAATCTAACTTACTGTTCGGGAGTGACTTAGATAAGCAGACCCAGATCTAAAGACCTAAAGAGTGATAATCTGTCTCAAACAGAGAAAGTTTCTTTTACAATCCCTCTACTTAGTGGTTCTGCTACATTTGATCTGTAGCCAATTTCCAGGATTCCTATTCTATAAAGATCAGATTCTAAATTTGATCTCGAAGCCACTCCTATTTTCTCTCATTCTCTTCTCCCTGTCCCTGTGAGTTCTCAAGTTGTTTTAGCTCATCTTGTTCCTCATGGATTCACCTTTCTGGACTTTCTCTAATGCCTGCAGTTTTCAATTGAACAATCACACTGCTGTTAGAGTGAACTATTAGCCCACCGTTTTCACCCTCCCCTAGATCTGTGCCCTTTGCCACACAACTCTGAAGTTCCTCCCACTGAAGGTTGACCATCTCCTCCCCTGGGTTTTGGGGTGGCCATGACTTGCTTTGGCTAATGGCTTATGGGCAGTTCTGTTTCTGCTCCGCCCTCTTGCTCCTCTGCCATTGCCATAAAAGGAAGCAGTCATGGTTAGCTCATTAGTGCAGGGGGGACAAGTGTAGACTCGTCCACCTATGTCTTGGAGTCACTTGGCTGAGCTCAGCCAAAACAGGCAGAGCCAGGATACCCTGTCTGCTTAGGCTGTAAGAGCTGCAGGATGCTTGTGCTTCCAATGAGCCTTCAGGGCTGTTCAAATGGCTAGGACTGTGAGAGACAACTAAGCCAGGCCTGACTAAGGAAAGTGGCTTAAGGGGCTGAGGGTCCTTTAAGGGAAGAGGCAGGACAGCTCCCTTCTTCCCTTGAGACGAGAACTTAAAGACGCTAACCATTCCAGTAGAGAAGTTGCAAGGCATATGAGGGGAAGCAGAAACTGACTTCCAGGGTGGGAAGACACTCTTTCTTCCAGGGGCCCTGAGGAGGAAATGAAGCCCATCGGCTGGCCTGCTCCTACAGAAAAGCAGTTCCAGGGAATGTAGCTCACTCCCCAGCAAATGCAATGCCCAGCAGAGCCATGAAAGTGGCAGAAGGAAATAACCTGCCAAATCAAGGCCGAAGCACCCCACCTCCATCCTTTTAGGCTTCTATGACTTCTTTCCTTCCGGATTGGGTATCTATCTCCTCAAGGAGCTCCAAGAGACGGCCTGCATACGTTGAGTGAGCTCTTTATTCTATTGACTCAAAAGATAAAAAAAGAGATTTTCCTTATTTTTCTAAATATGGTGATGCCCACCTAAACAATATACTAGCCCCTAACTCTAACACTTCACTCCGATGGTCAATTCAGCCAAAACTCCGTCTCGATTTGAGACTCTCCCTCCACATGGTGGCTCATCCCACAGGTAAGAGTTACCACTTATGAGGCCAAAACAGTGATCTAATACGTATGCAAGCCAAAGAGAAACTGCCAATTTGGTGGGAGGACCACATTTTCTAATGCCGTTTAAGAAAAATAGAAAAGGTCATATAACTAATTTTGTCCTATTTTCCAAATCCTTTTCACCTTCCATCTGTAACACCTACAAGATGAAGTGACCCTGTCAGACTCTGAGAAAAGATACACGGCTTCTGAAAAAAATGATTTTAAACAAAATTTTCTGCCCATCGGTGTGTATACTGTCTCCTTTCATATCCGAGGTAGTGAACAGACTGTGTCCAAGCCACTTGGCTCCTAGGATTTTGCCAAGTTAGGCTGGAGAGTAATCTCCCAGGCTTTCTCTGCCCAATATGTGGGGTACCCAGTCCCAAACCTTCATTCACCGAATAGCTGTGGAGTGTCTGCTTTGCACCAGACCTATCTGTTGTGGTGACGTAAAACCAGTAAGAAAGGGGCAGGAAAATGATGGAACTTATAACCAGAGCGACGGCAAAGAGATGCTCCTACATTGTATCCACTGTCCCTCTGGCTGACAGCACTGTAGACTCTCCACTTTGAGACTTCCTACACCATTTCTCCGAGTAGCCTTTTCCTCCCCAACCTATTATATTGTCAATAGTTTCAATAATCCTTGGCTTCCTCATGTTGTGTAAGACACAGCCAGCTGAGCTACTTCTGAGGAGAGAAACCCCCGAGGCTTGGGATTCTGAGTGACTCCATCCTGGCCCTCCCCTGTCCACCTTCCGGGCTTCCAACAGGAAGACCTTTCGTACATTCTGGAGGTACTTGTCCTCACAAACTTGATGCCATATTTCCAGGACTAAAATTTTCTTCTTCTAATGACATATATCGATCTATCTAACTAAAATGGCTGGTAATAGTTTAGCCTTTACTCTGTGTATTCTAAAAAAAACTGTTTGTGTATATACACATATTCACCCACCCACATATGTGTGTCTATGTATATGCACACACGCACATCACATACAGCTTCTTCTTAGCTAGTTTCCCCACAAGCAAAATTTAGTTAAGCTGCTCTCCGACCTCTTTGAGAGACATTAGGGTCCAAGCAACGTACGGACCTAGGCCTTCAGGGCTTACGGCCAGTCTGTTTTCCCCGGCGACATTACTGGAGTCCCCAGGTACTCTCACAGACCTCATTCACTTCTTAGTATAAAGGCCGGTAGCCAGGTAGCTCTTACCCTTTGTGTTCTAAGAGAGCTTGCACCTCAGGAGAAACAGATGAAGCTCTTGAAGTTGATATTTGAGGCAGGGTTTGGTGGGATGGGATGGAGGGGGAGATTCGGTTCCAAGGCATCTCTGATCACCACCTTCCACCCCCGTCTCATCTCTCTGGCTAGGTGTCCTGGGACCTGGTGTGACTACAGTTTTCAAGTGCAAACCTATGTTCTTGGTCCAACCACTGGCCACAGGAGGGTCACTTATCTCCCAGATGGAAATGTTCAGAACCTGGTTGACAACCATAAAGGAACCCAACTCACCCTCTGAGCAGAGCAAGCAGGCAACACAAAGTGAATTTTTAGAGCACAGGGGTGCCCTCATTCAGCTCTTCTATACTCTGTCCTTTCCATTCCAAAACCCCCTGCTATAGTTTCCCCACTTCAGATTGATCAAGTGTAGCAAATTGGAAAACAGACCCGCTCCAGCAGCAATAACAGCTAACAGCCTGATTCATAGGAGGAAAAGGACAAAAGCTGATGGAAGAACTCAAAAGGGGAGCACTTATTGAAGGGGCAGGCTGCTTCCAACCCCTCCCTGGTCCAGGAAAACAACACTGTACTGAATGACAGCCCAATGCAATAATTAGTACCCAGAGTAATAACTCAGGGTTATCTGGAAAAGTTTAAAGGATACAAATGTATTCTGTTTAGGAATAGAATTCCAAAGCTCTGGGAAAGAGGGCTGGCACTGAGAAAGGCCCCCTAGAGGAGGGTAGTGGTTACTGCACTGTAACACCACAGTGAAGGGAGTGGGGGTGGAGAGGTGCCCTGGGCTGGGAACCACCTACCTCTGAATGTTATCTTCCAGTTGTTTGACTCTGAATTCATCCTCTTCAGACTGCCGTCTCCTGGCTTCCTCCTCTTCGGCAGTTCCAGCGGGGATACCCTGCAGCAGCCATTTTTCCCGAAGCACTTTGGACTGTGGGAGTGAGGGAAGAGAACAAACTAGATGATACCTTTCAGTCCACAGCCTTCTCCGTGTGGGCAGTGCCTCGGTTTTAGCTCCGCCCCTCATCTGTGTTCACCTAAATTGCTGCCTTTGCCTCCTCACTAATTTGGCTCCCTACTTCCCTCCCCTGGGGCCCAACCCCTAGAGAGCCACCAGAGGGATTTATTTCTACATTTTCTACTATAAAAAGTTTTTGAAAACATGTTTTTCTAACAGAGGAAACTGAATAATGAATGCCACTGTACCTCATCTAGCTTTACAATGAGACAGTTTGCCGTATTTTCCCATATTTATCACCAAAGCATTTTAAAGGAAATAACAAACATCATGACATTGCACCCATAAGTATTTCAGTATTAATCTCTAAAACATAAGGACATTTTTCTGTGCAACTACAATTCCATTATATAATTTCTTAAGATCACCCAATATCAAGTCCATCTCAGGGTGTTTTTTCAGAAAGGTTAATTTATGTTATGGCTCTTCTTAGAAGCTCTTTAATGGGGGCTCTTGGGTGGCTCTGTCGGTTGAGCGTCTAACTCTTGATTTCCGCTCAGGTCATGATCCCACCTTGCACTGACAGCTGGGAGCCTGCTTGGGATTCTCTATCTCCCTCTCTTTCTCTCTATCCCTCTCCCCTCCCCCTCCCCCAAATGAATAAACACTTAAAAAAGAAATAAGCTTTTTAATGATTCCCAACCATACTCAGCAGTGGTCTCCAAATGGTCTTAAAATAATGCACCCCACTTGTACCAGTGTACTAACATATTGTGGAGTGAAAGAAAAAGGCTTTGAGTCTCAGGTCAACAGTTCAGGAGGGAGCGATTACTGCTTTGAGAAGAGAAATGAAACAGCTCAAAAGAAAGGCATGTGGAAACTCCCTGAAACGAAGAGCAAGGCAAGGAAGGCGTGGGAGAAGATTTTTGATTTGGGTTTCTATTACATGGTCCCTAGAAGGCAGATGGTGGCTATTGGATGTGTGCAGAGGCTGAACCCCAGGCATCATGGCCAAGCATCCCCTGGGCAGGTCAGCAGTCCTGGGAATGGAGGCCTGAAAGGGTGCACCCCCAAGTCTGCCAGAAGCAGGGCATGTGACCAGTTTTTCCCGGGTCCTATAATGGCTTTGAAGCCACTCAACATAGATTATGCATAGAATAAGCACTGGGTTCCCTGGCTTCAGGCATCACTTCCATCAGAATCTGGTTTGACCTCGTCAGGCAGGCTGAGCAAGGTAAAACAAAGGGAACCCTTTTGATGGCTAAGAGCCAGGCTATGCAGAGTTTGGAGCCAATTAAATAGGATTTACGGAAATGAAAGAGTGGAATATTTCTAATATTGTGGACACAGAATTCATACTTCAGTTTGCTTTCTACAGCTCTTAGCAAAAGACAGACAATTCCGGAGGCTCTCATTTTTCTTCAGATTAAGCAATAAAATCACTTATTATAAAGCTATAAAATGAGTTACTAAAAATTGCCAACATTTAGTAATAGTAAGTTAGAATTCATTAACGGTTCTGGTTCACCATTCTATTGAGAAATCCAGCAGCCACACAGGGCTGTGAAGACCCTGCTGGATGTATAGGAGCAAGTTGCAATGTTTAGAATTCCAACACTTCTGAAGGGACTTTTTTTTTAGCAACACATCAGTACGGTGTCCAAGCAGCCATGGTGTTCACTGAATGATTCTTGCTTTTTATTTATAAATCTTTGTTGGTGCAGGCCTGTTTGATTACTCTTACAGTGCATAAAGAAGCATATTTATAGCAATTGACCTATTGCTTTCCATTCATTAAAGGCATGGGTCTGTTCATATGCAAGTGATTCATGATTATATGCTAAAGTGATTGTAGACAGGAACCACCCTCATCCCAACAGACTTAAACAGCTAAACATCATTGGTAACCTGGTGCCTGCAAATTTATTTACAACTACCACCAAGGACAGTGTTAAAAAAGTACTTTAAATATTTATAGAGCATTGTTTATTAACATAAAATCATGTGTAAAAGTTCACAGTACCAGGGTGCTGGGTGCCTCAGTCGATTAAGCGTCAGACTCTTGACTTCAGCTCAGGTCATGATCTCACAGTTTATGAGATGGAGCCCTGTGTTGGGCTCTGCTCTCACTGCATGGAGCCTCCTTAAGATTCTCCCTCTCCCTCTCTCTCTCCCCCTCTCTTCCCCCACCCAACTCGTGCACTCACTAGCTCACTCTCTCTCTCAAAATAAATAAACATTAAAAAACTCACAGTATCATTTGTTGACATTGGTTGCTCTTTCTTCTGGGCTGAATTATGGCCCCCTTTCCCCACCAATTCCTATGTTGAAGACCTAACCCCTACGACCTCATAACATAACCGTGTTTGGAAATAGGGTCTTTAAGGTTAAATGAGGTTATTGGAATGGGCTCTAATCCCATATGACTGGCGTCCTTATAAAAAGAGGACATGCACAGAAAGAAGACCATGTAAAGACACCTGAGGAAGACAGCCATCTACAAGCCAAGCAGAGAGCATGTGAAGAAGCAAGCCCTACTGACACGTTGATCTTGGTTGGATTTGCAGCTTCCAGAATTGTGAGAAAATAATTTTTGTGGCTTAAGCCACCCAGTCTGTGGTGTTTGTCACAGCAGCCCTAGCAACTACTACATTCTCTGAAGCTTTATCACAGAGATGCTTCTTCCACTGGAAAGTGGGGATGAGTGGGTTAAACTGGTTTCTCTTCCTAAGTGGGTTATAGGGGAAAAAAAAACCTCAAAAGCATTGTTCTCTACTCAAAATTCCCCAGATATCATGCTCACTTATGGTGAGAGGCTGGGCTGAACAGTGGTTAACAGCCTGAATTCTGGAGCCAGTCTGCCACTTACTAGCTGTGTGACCTTAGATAGTCTCCTCACCCTCATCGAACCTCAGTTTCCTCACCTGTAAGATGGATGTGATGACAGAGCCCATCTCAGGCTTGTCACGGGGATTAAATGCATTCATATGCTAAAAGTGCTGAACCCACACTTAGTACTAGAGAAATGTTTATTATTGCTGTTCATCCTGTTCCCCTGGCCTCTCCTCCCCTCATCTGAGAAAGAGCAGGTAAAATGCTACCTGAGGAACCTTCCTCCACTACCGCTGGTAGGATCCATGGCTCTCTTCTCTGCCTCCTCTAGCAGACAGCATACTCTAGTGCACTTTCATACTGTTTATATCTTTCCTCCTATGGACTCCCAGCTCCTCAAAGGCTGGGACAATTCTTCATTCTCTTCCGCATCTCATTGCTGCCCCTAGCCTAGCTCCGGGGAATGAATGAGTAAAGGGGTGAGGTGGAAAAATCTTGATTTTTCTATCACGCTAATTCCTTGGGAGGGGGCTATCACACTTTCACTGGGCTCCCTCAGCTGAAAATGTTTGACACTCACCTAGTTCAACTTATAGAGGGTAAAATCCCTATTAGGATTTTGGGAGACAGATCTACTGGCAACCTTGGTCTTAGAGTGTGGACCCTTCTGGAAAGGCAACCATGGACAGACCCAGCTTTCTCTACCCTAGCAGGGATGTTACACAGCTAGGGCTTCTTGGAACATGCACTGGCTGCTCCTGGGAATGTTCTCTCTGCTCTTCTGCACACTGTGCCTCCTGCCACCAAGAAAGTGTCTAACTCCTCATTTCTGGCTGATTTAGCCTTAGCCATGTCAGCACTTCTGGAAAGAGCAGCCTGGTGACCATGAACACTGAAAGCACATACGCCCTCGGATCTGTCTCTTCTTTGGATAAGCCAGTGAGGTCACCAAAACATCCCCAAAAGCTGGAGCCAAGAAGAGAGACAATAACAACAGGACAGTGGGTCTCAGAGAAGTCTGTTTCACAAAAGTGTTTTGATGTTATAGAAACAAACAAACAAACAAAAAAGCAGAGTTGATTTTTTTCACTTGGACCCAAAGTGGTAATGCTGGGAAACCACCAATTCAAATACATTTACCACCAAAGATTCCCTTAACCTACACCAGATCCCCTCCTGTTGTCTCTGAGGGTCGGCTGTGTTATAGCCTTGGGACACAATGTACTTGTCCATTCTGATCACACACGCCCATTGGAAGCACTGGTTTCCCTGTAGTGTTCTGGCCTTTACTGGCTGCCTGAGTGTTTCAGAATTAAGTGACTGTCTAAATAAAATACTAAAAATAAAAAACTTTTCTTTCTTATGTTCAAAGAGCATATACCAAAAACAGATACCATAGTTTACAGGTGGTAAGAACTGTCAAAACTTCACATTTGTCAAGTGGATGCAACGATGAAAAGTCAAGACAAGGAAAGGGCAGGCAGAGAGCTGGCAGTGGGCAAACAGAGTCTCGACAGGGGCTCCTTGGAGGGAAGGATGGAGGAGACGCTGAGGTTCATCTGGCTCTTCCTCCACACGTGTGTCCAGCTTCAGAAAACAAAAGGAGAACAGAGCCTCGCATGCTGCAGTATGAGTAGGCCTCACCAGGAGAGCTTGCACAGAAGCCCACTCCCGGCGATGTTGATTCTCAAAGTTCAAGATAGGGGTCTGGGAATTTGAATTTTAACAGGCTCCCACGTGATGCTGTCATTGACGCTGCTGGTCCAAGGACCTTGGTTTGAGTCACCCTTCACTAGAACCTGTGACTATCCAGATGTCTGGAGAATGCGTAAGCTTCACCACTGGCTAGCCAAACACTGATCCGAAGAGGAGCTCTTCATCCTCCCACAGGCTGTCTCTCCTCCTGCATCCCCATCTCAGGAGCAGTGGTGTCCTCATCCATTCCCTACATGCCAGGCACTCTGCCGGCTCCTGAGGACACTGCCTGGAAGACAGGCAGGTCCCCAACATCGCTGAGCCTTTGTCCCAATAAACAAGGGTGCAAGACCATTTCAGACTGTGATACCAGCATTGCAGGAAGTAGGTAGGACAATGTGAGAAACAGGGACCGATGGAAGACACTTTAGGTGGGAGAAGTCTCT